TTACCAGCCATGAGTCCACACATGCCAAATAGAGCTGTGGAACTATGATCTAATAAAATCAGCGCCCAAAATAAGCACAAATAGTTGATGCAAAATTCCATTTAAATAAAACTAGAGACCCATACATCTGTAATCCGTTAATATTCAGAGATTTTATTCAAGAAGATTCTTGCCAGTGTGTGCTAAGAATTGATGTTACCATGTCATAGTATACATAAAGTAATTCAAGTTGTGAAAAATACTTAATTTGGGACTAGTGTAAAAAATATAATTTATAATAGCAATAGGACTTAGACTTATATACCGCTTCATAGTGCTTTGCAGCCCTCTCTAAGCTGTTTACAGAGTCAGCCTATTGCCCCCAATAATCTGTGTCCTCATTTTACTGACCTCTGAAGTATGGAAGGCTGAGTCAACTTTGAAGTGTTTTAAAAATGAAAGGGATGGTAAGGTGTACACAAATGCAATAATTACCTTATTCACTGAGAAACATAAACTCCTTTGTTCTTAAAGAGAAAAATGTAGGAGAAAATGTGTTTAATTGGACTGTGATATAACAATTAATTTCCAACCACCTTCTATAAGAGCCATATTTTTATCTGCTCTGGAAGACTGAGATGAGAACTACATACATTTCAACAGGGAAGCTGTTCAGAGGAAGCTATAATTTAAATTATAGCCTGCCATTGAGACTCCTTATTCCTCCTGGTAAGTGGGGATTTTCGGCAGACTTTCTTAGTGATCTAGATAGGATGGCTGAAACTATTGAAAAAATAGTGGTCCCCAGAATGCCGAGACCCAGAGCCAATAGGACATTTTAGAAAGTACACTTGGAAATATAATGGTCACCAGTGTAGCTTGTGCAACAGAGGTATAATGTGGCAGTGCTTTGACTGATTACTAAGTATGTGTATTGCTGCATGCTGAATATGCTTAAGTTTGTGGGTAATCTTCAAAGAGCAAATCGCAAGAGAATATAAGGGCATAAGCAACCATCTTCAGTCCATCCTGTTCCAGGTAAGGATGCAATTAGTGCACCACCTGAAGTTATGCAAAAACCCTCCTGGTCATGATATTTCTCTCCTCTTCAAGCAAGAACTATGAGTCCAGGAATGAACTTGATGATCACGCTCCCTCCCTCTGAGGGAGCATGACCATCAAGAGCCAGAAATGGTACAGTACTAGAATCAAGTAATTCCATGCATCAACGATCACTCTCTCTTGTTTGGATTGAATGAACATGTTTTTCTCTATCCAAAATCTTAACCTCAGACATGGGTCAAGACTTCCATTTCATCTTCCAGTAGGCTTGAGGTGAAGTTGCCTAGCTTTATTCTGCACCAAAAGGATTATCTTGGTATTTTCAAGCTTTCATCTCCCAGAATGTTAATTAAAGATGATTAAGAATCAGTTGAGATTTGGTATAATATTCCATTATTGCTTTTTCTAGTAAAAAGTATAAAGAAATAAATATTTCATTCTTTTCAAAGAATTTGGAATCTAGTAACCTCACTTTTATAACCGGTATCAAAGGCCAATTCCAATATGGTCCATGAGGGCAAGTTTCCATGAAGGCAAAACCAGGCATTCAATTTACCCAAGAAAGAAGATACACTGTGATAGAAACTTACATACCAATAAATTAGTATTATCTAAGTCATCAACTAATTAATTTAGCTGTGGAAAATTTAGGTTTATCAATGAACAGTAATCATCTGGAGAAAGAGCTATGTATGCCAAGAGTTATTTAGTTTAGAGCAGGGATCCCCAAACTCTTCAGCTCATCAATCCCATCATGGTTTTAGATCAGTGGTTCTCAACCTTTTTAATGCCGCGACCCCCAATCGGTCGTAAGTCGAGGACTAAACCGGTCGTAAGTCGAGGATTACCCAACCGGTCGTAAGTCGAGGACTTTCCCTGCCCGGGAGCGCCGCGCATGTGTGGTGCCACCCCCTGCGCCGGCCGAGGCGTAGCTGGCAAGCGGCAGAGACAGAGCAGGCCGACCACCAGCTGGCCCAGCCCAAGGGAGGTAAGGCACCGACCGAAAAAGGGGAAAAAAATGGCGGACAGCCTTGCTTGGCGACCCCCGTGAAATAGTCGATCAACCCCAAATGGGGTCGCGACCCATAGGTTGAAAACCGCTGTTTTAGATTGTTCATCAACCCCCAAACAAGAAAAGCACAATATCTGTAATAAATATTGTAACTGCATTTATATTATATTTTAATGCAAAGATGATTTATTTTAAAATCCAAACAAGAATAACTAATGTAAGAAAGTATAATCTTGTTTAATAAATTGTTGTTGTTAATTGCGAAGTCGTGTGCGACCCCATGGACAACGTTCCTCCAGGTCTTCCTGTCCTCTACCATCTTCTGGAGTCAATTTAAGTTCACACCTACTGCTTCAGTGACTCCATCCAGCCATCTCATTCTCTGTCGTCCCTTTCTTCTATTGCCCTCAATCTTTCCCAGCATTAGGCCCTTTTCCACTGAGTCCTTCCTTCTCATTAGGTGGGCAAAGTATTTGAGTTTCAACTTCAGGATCTGGCCTTCTAAAGAGCAGTCAGGGTTGATCTCTTCTAGGACTGACCGGTTTGAACGCCTTGCAGTCCAAGGGACTCGCAGGAGTCTTCTCCAGCACCAGTTTAATAAATACCTCATACCAATTAAACTAGCCTTTTACATTTAAACATTCAATGTTAAACTGAACTGAATACTAATTTTATATGAACATTGCCTAAAATTGGATCAAGAATTTGATTAAAACACCCACCAATTATCAAAACATTGGAAGATAATCAAGGCAAGATGGCTTAGACAATTATAAAATGCACCAATTGTATCTAAATTAGGAATATAAGTATTAGCTGGAGGGAATTTTTTTCCCCAACACTTAATTACCATAATGATAATGGCCTTTTACATCTGTTATCATTCTTAACATAAAGTAAAGTGCTTTTATTAAAAGAGCCATACTTTTTTATATATAAAACTACTAATATAAACTTAGCCCATCCAATCTTTCTGCTACCTAACCTTTATCATCAGTAGTTATTTGTCTCTTGCAAAGATGCAAGAGCCTTGAGTCTTGTGAGTTTTACAAGGATTTGTTTTCCTTTGTCAGGGGTTTCCAGACTACTCACATAATTGAAAGACACAATCCAAGAAATATATGTGCATACAAAAATAATATTAACACAGAAAAATTAGGAAACCCAACTAAAATACTCGGTAAGTTTTGAAATCTTGGAAGTTCACAATGATTATAGGCCTTTCAAATATCGTGATAAAAAAGAGTTATAACATATACAAAATTAGCATATTAATTAAAATGGAACAGGAGACAAATAAGTATAGGTTCAGGATAATTAATTTTCTCCACAGCTGCTGTCATTCTTTCAAGATACTTTAAATCATTTCATTCATGTTTGTTTGAAAGAAGTTTTAGCGGGTCAATGCAGTTTCCTCCAAGATTCCAGTGAAAGAACATCTATCCATATATGAACCTGCCCTTTCTTTGATATCTACCTGGCTTTTCCCACCTTTTTGAAATTAGATGGCTAGCACTGTTGCCCTCCATTGAGGGACTTCAGCTGGTGTTAATTCTTTTCTTTCCTTCCTTTAGTCCCTAAGTTTTTTCTACGCCCTGTCCCCCAGGTGTTTGATGTTTTAAAATCTGTTATGATTTTTTAAAAAATATTTTAAATAATAATATAAGATTTATATTATTTTATATTCACATTTTTAGTGTTTTTCTGTTTCTGTAAGTTAACAAAATCTAAAATTAAAAATGTTTTTCAATGGTACATCTTTCATCTTAAATTATGCTGCTGGCTGAATATGTATTCCTAAACCAAATGTTAACTTAGAGCCAACCACCTTTCCTGAGAAATGTTTACTCAGGTTAAAGTTGATGTTGCAAGTAATAGAACAATGGTATTTCTTATTCCCTGTGATAACACATTTTCAAGGCTGTCTTTCTAGGATCTGATACAATTATAAAAGTCACTTTTACAATAAATTTTCTCCTTGTTTAAAGCTAGTGAAATTGTTCTAGAGCTATAAACATTTCAGTGACATCTAATTTTGGCAAGTTGTCAGTGATGGATACTACTCTAGACAATAAATATAGAAAATAACTATATAATTTAGATTTCAAACATAAGCTTTTGTAATAAATGTTTAATGGGAAACTTGTCTCTGTATTCTTTTGTATTCATGAACAACTAGGGTAAACTGTATACTATCTGAAAATGATCTAAAGATTCCGCTCATTAGATCCTCTTCTTCACTGTTAGATTTAAAGTTAGGAATATATGGAGCTTGATCTGCAGAGGTTGTATGATTTTTGTTGTTTTCTGTGTGATGAAATATTATCCGAATGTTATTAAGTTACAAGATAACAAAGTGCTTTTTTAAAGGAATGAAATGTTTGCAAAATTTCCAGATTACTAAAAGTGTTGTTTGATATCTATTATATACTAACATTTTTTTCTGATCATAAAAAACTTGTTTCTGATCTTAAAAGCTTTTGATTGTGAATTGTATCCAGAGCTATTCTGCACAAGGAAGTTTCTCTTTCATCTATAATAATTGAGGTCCAATAGAGTTCATGCTATCCAGTTTTTTTCCAATTCTTCCTTTTTCCCTATCAGTTTCTGTTTTCAGAAGATTGCCCAATCTCCAGAACAGAAAGAAGAAATTTGCCTTCTTCTACCGGTGGGATTGTACTATTAGTGAAATTATTGCTATGCAAAGCCTTTTGCTTCTACTGAAGTTACATAAAGCATAAGACACATTTTGCAGTGGTATTCTTCAGTAGCCATTCTATATTTGAAAGTCATGTTGACCATTCATGAGAGAACTATACTTTGCTATCATATAAATCCTTAATTATCTAACTAAAACTTTTTTTTTCTATTAATATATTCTGATTTCATGCAATGCTGTTTACGAAATGATGCAGTATTTAATTCCCTTTTAATATTCATTTGATAGCGCATGTTCTGTCGCCCTGTTAAAACAAATCCAGATGACATAAAGAATCCAGTTAAAATTAGTATCCCACGTTATGTCCTTTGCGGGCAGGGAAAGGATGAGCATTATGAATATGAAATCAAGGTAAGGTATTTAAATATTTTTATTTTTGGTGGTGTGCATTATTTGTCTACATATGAAATCTTTACATGTTTATAACTAATTATGGAAAAGGTTCAGTTTGGAAAGTGAAGAGTAAGCTAGATTGTAATGCATAATTGTCCTTTACTTTCTCTCTTTGCTATATTTGATCTTTGAGTGTGTCCATTCCTTGAACAACAGTCATAAACTGTAACCCTTCTGTTAGGAGATTTTGAGTGTTTCTAGAACTCTACTGGAAAGCATTTCTGCAAGATAGGGCACCAATTTATCCCAGCCAAATGTCTTCTGTACACCTCAGAACACTGATTAGGACAGGTATGAAGGGAATGTTTTAAATAGTTGAAGTGGGAGACTGAAGAAGATACAAATATGTAAACTTGGCAAGTATAGAACACCTAAGACATATTCTATACTAAGTAGTAAGAATACTGAGTATTTCATAGGAAGGTATTAGCGTTCCCTGCATCTCGGCATATAGTCATACTAACCACGGAAGTGTCTTCAGACATCGCTGGCTCCCTCGATTAACAAATGGAGATGAGCATTGCCCCCTAGAGGTGGACACAACTGGACAGGGGAAACCTTTACCTTTTATTTACTAAGTATAGAAGTTTGGTATAATCCCAAGAATCTTGATAAACTAACATATTCTTCAGCTTTATATTCTTTATTGTTTTATTCCATTGGGTTTATTGTGTCATACCAGTTCTCTTGAAGTGGTATCCAGGATTCAGGAAAGATGGGATGGGATGGGGTGGGGTGGGGTGGGGTGGGATGGGATGGGATGGGAAGGATAAGACAAAATAAGATAAGAAGATAGCCTTTATTTCCACTTTTTTCAGTGAACACACTGGCACACAATAAAAAAATGAAATTTTGATGCCTGCTATCAAAAGAAAATACATATGTATCCAAGGAAATATATATATATATATATATATTATATATATATATATTATATATATATATATATATATATATATATATATATATATCAGGGTGAATATATATATTCAGGGTGAATATATATATTCACCCTGAGGTGAAAATAAAAAGGAGGTGAGACTGATGATAGCAGCTTTGTAGCCTCACATTGCATCCTAATCCTTTACTGCATGCTTCATCACAGCATCACATATGCTGCCAGAAGGGACAATTTTTTTCTTTCCTCATTTTGAGGGAAAGCAACAAGATCCTGTTGATAATGCTGTTCGCTTGCAAATACTTATTTGTTTAATCAGTTAATGTTGATGTATGTGTATTCCATTGTATGATCTAATGCAGCAGTATTCTTATTCCATTTCAATTGCATAACTTATTCAGATAATTGGCACTCTTCCTCCTGGTTGAGGTAATGTCAAGTGATAAGAAGTCATAAAAATAGCCCTCCTTACAACAAATCTTCTATATTCTGCCCATAATCATAGAATTTACCTCATGGGAAAGTGACTTCCATGCTAATGCAATGATATATTCAGTGTCTCCTAGTAAACTGAAAACATTGGTTTATTCTGCTCCAAGTCAAATTTTGGTGTGTGAATAATCATGCTTAGTCAGGGAAAATTATCCATTATGAGAAGCCTTGTAATAGAAACCTTTATGTTCCTTTTCTGTTAATTATATTGTTTACTTTTACAAAACAGATATCAGTCCTAGATGAGACATGGGCTATATTCAGGAGATATAGCCGCTTTAGGGAAATGCATCAGACATTAAAATTAAAATTCCCAGAGGTAAGTTACTAATTAATTTTAATCTGTAAATGTATGTTTATTTCCTTTTGGTTTATACTGATAGCAAATACTGGTGAACTTTCCTATTTACTTTCTAAGAAGCTATTACATTTGTGACAGAAAGTGTTGTGTATGTTTGGATTTTTTGGCAGTTTTTATTTTACATTGATACTTGCTTGGAAGACATTCTACAAGGGATTGCTATGCTGTGTTTTGTGAGAAAAAAAATCATCTCTTAGTTCCAAAATTTTTCAGTCTTTATACATTTCTTTAAAATTATCAGACTTTTTAGAAATGACCATTTTTATGAGACCCTTCAGAGGTCTTTTTTGAAAGTGATGAAATTAAATCTGCTGTTTCACATTCATGGAAGTGAATTAAAACCAGCAGAGTTTTCTGCTCCACTAAGTGGACTTCCATAGGTTGAAAAAAGGAGAAGCAATATTTTTCTTTTTAATTTATTTCATTTCATCAACACCTCCCACTAATTGTGTTCCCAGCAATTTGGAGTCAAGGGCAGGAGAATTTACCTTCCCACACTCCCATGAAAATCCAAGGCACAGAGTTTTGTTCTGCGAAGTTATGAATTGAAATCATTTTTTGTTGTTACTTCTTTTCTGTATTTTATTATCTTTTATTCTTAAAGTCTCTATAGTTTTATGGGATTCTGAATATTCAACTACATTTACTTCTGTGATTTATCAGTTATAACCAGTTCTTTTTTTTTTGAAGGACCCTCATTTATCCTCCATTCTATTCACACAGGTGCTTTATGAGACACATTAAGCTGACAACTAATGATCAGCTCAGTTTTACTGATTTTCAGATTTGAATGCAGGAGTCATGGAAGGAAAATATCATCCCAATCCTAAACTAATTTTCTAATCATTACTTTGAAGAGTGGAACTGAAATATTAGCCTCTAAGAAAAAAATAATGATCAAAGTCATTAATTGTCACGACTTTGATTAACATCAATAATAAATATAATTAAATTAAATCTATGTCTTAGATGAATATTGCAGGTCCCAAGTAAAAATATGTGTTCCATGATGCAACCTAGCCAGGGTATATTGGTATTTTCAATAGATTCTCTTCTCTATTCATCAGCACTACCCAAGCATACATATATAATGTTTATATATATATTGAGGATAATAATTTATCCACCTAACACTGCCATATCATACCACTATCATTTATTGTGCAAGTCAACTCTGTGTAAGTAGCAATATCTATTGTCCTCAGCCATCTGAAGTTAAAACAGCACACTTTTTCTACATTAAAGTTATATTTTTCCATCTAGTTATCAATGTCAGTATAACAGTTGATAATGGAAATGTCTTTCTATGTCTTTGTGAGCATGTTCAAAGGATGCAGGGGATAGTGGAAAATGCCATCTTTGTGGTTTTGTTATTCTTTTTTAGAAGAAATGAAATTACTCTTTATTAAAGATTTAGGAAGGAATTTAAAAAATGGCTTTTATTTTCTTCACAAATCTAAGGAGATTTATTTAGCATTTCTTCACCCTATTTGATATTACATCACATAAATCACTTCTTCCCATATCTCAATGTTTATCCTTCCACAAATTCAAAATCTATTAACGTTTCTGTCTAGTATCAGCAAAATTAAATTAAAGTTTTATTTTTCCTAGAACTTTATAAACATATTTCTTAACCCTGATCATTATATTTCTTTCTTTGGTTCCTAACATTCTTTATCTTTGTTTCATTAATATGCTGTCGTAAGATTTGATCTCCATCAAAATTTTCTTCCATCTCAGGCATTTCTTTACAGCTTTAACAGATCTCTTTTGTAAATCCAATAATGAATCATTACAGGATCATTTTTCATCTCTTGACTTAGAGTTTGTATTTTCACTTTAATTTCATCTCTGTCTTACAGTCCACAACTATATCTGCCAGAGCAGATATTGTTGCTGTTATTGTATTGCTAAGTTTCTTTATCATTTCTTCAAAAATCCTATGAAATGTAATATTTGCAAGTGTCTCTACAGGTCATCAAATACAAAAAATAAGAAAGAGGAGGGTTTTCTTTTCTTTGTTTCTTCTATCTGGAATCTGTAGTCCCCTTTAGTGTGTCCTTTCTATAATCACATATTCTGCCTCAAATTTATTTTGCTTCTTTATCAACCAATCTTGTCTTTCCTGAAAGACTAAATAATTTATCTTCCACAATAATACTGTTTTTAGATGCTTATGTTACCTTCTTTTTTGTATACAATCCAAGGTGGCAAACATACCTAATATTCCTTCTTCCTCCTATTTTCACCCATCTAATTTTTTATGCCTAACGCAGAACTAAAATTCACAATCTCTTGGTTTCTAGGCCGGCACCGTAATAATTACACCAAAAGTCATACTATTTCAAATATTATGAAATATTTAAAATCTCTCTTTCCCCTTAGTTTATTTCAATGTTGTTAAGTTAATTTGTTATCCAGTTTTTTGCGGTTTATTTTATATTCTTTAATTTTTTTTAATTGTTTTTCCCCCTTTTCTGGAATGACGGATCAGTTTCTTGATATATTCACTTCTATTCTTTTTCTTGACTTCAGCATGCTTGATACTGTCAGCTTGAATGATACCCAGGTATTTATAGTGATCATCTTCATCGAGACTTTTGATGTTATTTCCATAGGAGATATTGATTCCTTCAGTTTTCACTATTTTTCCCCATTTGATGGTGAGCATTTCTCCAATCCAAGCTCCAGTTTTCTATCTGTTTATATTATTATCTTTTAACAATAATGTAAAGTCACAACTGCCAGTTCTTTAGCTAGTGTTGGCTTTCATACACGTTGAGTTCTTCACAAGAAACTAAGACGCCATAATATATCAGTGTAGTGTATGTGCAGATCCAAGCAGCATGAGCTTTGGAAGTCACCAATGAAAATTATGTCAATGTACAAATTTTCTATGTGTCATCCAAAATTTTTTGGTATAACAGCCAGTGTGCCAATAACCTTTGGAACCACCACAGCCAGTTTGTATCATAATAATTCTTCAATTTTCAGATCTTGGTACTTTGTGATTCCCAACTCCTTGTTAATAATTCTACTAATTATTATTTAACTTATGGATCATCGCACAGTCAGCCAGATGTTCAGACTGGATTTGGCATTTTGTCTACCTATCGAGTCCTTACCCAGGACCTGGGATAGGCAGATGTGGATGTTTGATGGTATTACAGGTATCGTCGCAGGATGGAAGCAGTTCCTAATAAGGCCGCCTTTTGCAATTGACTAATAGCGAATTTGTCAATGCCAATGGTGTTCAAGTGGTGCTCCAGTTGTTTTGGGATTGCACCCAAGGAGCCTATGACTATTGGTACTACCCTTGCTTGCTTTTGCCACAGTCTTTCTATTTCTATTTGTAGGTCTTTGTATTTTGTTATCTTCTCCAGTTCTTTCTCTTCTATTCTGCTATCTCCAGGCACTGCCACGTCCACTATCCAGACTTTTTTGTCTTTCTTATCGACAATTGTTAAGTCTGGGGTGTTATGTTGCAGGTGCTTGTCTGTTTGAATTCTGAAGTCCCAGAGCAGTTTAATTTTATCATTTTCTATGACTTTCTCTATTTTATGATCCCACCAGTTTTTGCTTACAGGCAAATGATATTTTTTGCAGATCTTCCAATGCACCATTGTTGCTACTTTGTCATGCCGCTGCTTGTAATCAGTCTGTGCAATCTTCTTGCAACAGCTTACCAAGTGGTCCACTGTTTCTTCAGCTTCTTTGCATAGGCGGCACTTACTGTCTGTTGCTGTCTTCTCAATTTTGACTTTGTATGCATTTGTCCTTAAGGCTTGGTCTTGTGCAGCCAGAATTAGTCCCTCGGTCTCTTTCTTCAATTTTCCTGCTCTTAGCCATTGCCAGGTTTTATTATTATCTGCTTTCCCAGCTATTTTTTTCATGTATTGGCCATGTAGTGCTTTGTCTTCCCATGCCTCTATTCTGTTCTTCATTTGGTCTTTCTTGTAGGCCAGTTTGGTCTCTCCAGTAGTTAGTAAGCCTTCCTGATATACTAATTTCAGTGCATCTTCATCATTGTTCTTCAGATATTCTTCCAAAGCCATTTTTTCTTCTTCAACCATCTGATGTACTTGTAGCATTCCACGCCCACCTATTTGCCTTGGTAGATAAAGTCTATCAATGTCACTGCGTGGATGAAGGGCATGATTCATTGTCATTATTTTTCTGGTCTGCCTATCCATTGCTTTTAGTTCTGCTTGAGTCCAGTCCACTATTCCAGCTGTGTACCTAATGACTGGGATTGCCCAGGTGTTGATTGCCTTTATGGTATTTCCTCCATTGAGTTTGGACTTTTAAGATCTTCTTCACTCTCTTGATGTATTCACCTCTAATCTTTTTCTTGACTTCAGTGTGCTTGATGTTGTCAGCTTGAAGGATACCCAAGTATTTGTAGTACTCTTCCTCATCCAGACTCTTAATGTTATTTTCGTGGGGCATCTTGATTCCTTCAGTTTTCACTATTTTTCCTTGTTTGATAGTAAGTGTGGCACATTTGTCCAAGCCAAACTCCATTACAATATCTTGGCTATATATACGGACAGTGTTGAGCAGCGATTCTATTTCAGATGATGTTTTTCCATACAGCTTCAGATCATCCATGTAAAGGAGGTGGGATAGTCTGGCAGATGTTTTTGATGTTTGATAGCCATGTCCTGAGTTATTCAGTATTGTTGACAGAGGAAACAGTGCAATAACAAATAGTAATGGTGATAATGAATCTCCTTGAAATATTCCTCTCTTGATATTAACCTCTCCCAGCTTCTCACCATTGATCTGCAACTGTGTCTTCCATTGTGCCATCGATCTTTGCACAAATTTTCTGATGTTTCTACTGACTCCTGTTATTTCTAGGCACTTGATTATCCAATCATGTGGCAGAGAGTCAAATGCCTTTTTGTAGTCAATCCATGCCACATTCAGGTTGGTCTTCCTTCTCTTGCAGT